AAAAAGGAGACCCTTGTGGTGGGCTCCAGATGATACGCGTTGCACGGGGATGACCGTGAAAGTGCGAAACACGCAAACAAGGATCAAGCACGTCGGGAAAACCCTAAACACCTAAACACTCACTCACACACACACACACACACACACACTATCACAATCTCAGTGCACGAGTTCGAGGGCCTTTGGTATTAAGAAATACCACTTTTGTCTTCTTAGGTTTAAGTCTCAAGAGATTTCGTCTCAAAACGGGTTTTTATTATAAGGTGTGGTTTAGAATAGTTCAATAGAACAAAATATGTCTTTCTGGGAATTTGGTCTCTTAAATGCAAAGTTCTTTGATCACAGTTTCTTTTATTAACACAAAACACGACTTCAATTGACTTTTATGACTCCTGTGAGTTTCTATTATGCCACTACACTCCAAAACCAAGGGTACGAGTACACTGTCTCGTCTAAATGATACTGTGTTTTTAAAACCTCTTATTCAAAAGTCTCCAAGTAAGTTGACTCCCAAGCACGCTGGCTTCGTTCACACTGTACTTTTCTGACCACGAAGAAATCTCCTTTAATTGATTACAACTGTCCACCTCCTAAGTTCCTACTTGGAGTGCAACTAGCTGGTCAACGGGGGGGCGATTGCTTGCCTTTTGACCTGCCAGTGCGCTCCTTATATACTCCAGGAACCCCTATCTACGTTTTACATGTGTTTTAATGCGGGATACTTCGGTCCGAATTACAAATATGAAATTTAATGAACGTGTGGTATATTTTGTAGTCTATCTCTGTGAACACTACAGATTTTGTAGTGTCGCGTCTTTCATTTTCAAACACATCAGTGTTTGATGCGTACGTGGAGTTAGCCGACGTAGCTATTCTTAGCTTGGCATGATCTCGCGTGTTTCTTTCTATGGCCCGGTTTACCGGTTTGACAGATGACATCACAAAATGATTAATGTTTCCTGATGCATTGCTGCGCATGCGTACGCGTTTACCAATAGTCTTCGGCCTTCCGTCGCTTCCGAGTTTTTAATTAAAATGCCTTGTCTTGGCTCGTCTTTTCATTACGGAGGTCAGGAGACACTCCGAAGGTGTTTTCAAATGTCTTTCTTAATTGTCAGGGGGTTCTTATTATATTTCATATAATAGAATGTGTCTTTTTCTCATGTTTGTA